ATAATCATAATTGAAATAATGATCCATTAAGCTGATTAAAGCTAACTGTTATGAACATTAAATGTAGCGTATCCTCGACTATTCTAAAAACAAAATTGCACGAATACGCACGTGTATCTTCATTCTTTTTTCATTCACATTAACTGCGTTGTTGCGAGTGCGCTATCAAATGAAGTAAAAGTGTAATCAATGACGCATATTGGCTTGTTATGTCCCTCGAACAAACTTTGAGCAAATTTATTATCTGCGCGATAACGAGATCTATAAGAAGAAGAAGTATCTGAGAGACGAAAAGATGTCACTTCTAATAGCACAAAAGGACCGCAATTTCAGCACTAAATAAATAAGCCGCCCTTCTGCAAAAATGGCGTGTTGTTCGTTTCGTGAAATTAATTCATTAACACCGCTGACCCGTCAATGACCTGCCAATTTATACACGAACAATAATAGCATTTATGCTTCTTGCAAACGGATATCTCGTTAAGGAAACGATATGTCTAGTCTTTTAATAATTACAAACATATTTTAAATAAATAATATTGCTAAACGTAGACCGTGAAGATTGGAAAATTCATAAATATATAGAACGCACGATTAAATATTTAATTTAAAATTAAAGTTGTATATGTACTTTAAAAATTTAACTTTTATCTCGTGGTGCAGATAATTATGACTGTATTTTCATTATTATTGCTGTATTTTCATCATCGAATAATTACTGCGGCTTCCTTATTCGAAATGAAATATCACGCGATGATTTATTGGAGCATTTAAAATATATAATTAAACAACTATGAATCGTGTGCTGGATACCAAGGAGCAATTAATCGTGAATTCAATAAAACACTCGGAGTGTCATTCCGTAAACATTCCGTTGTTCTTGCCAGCACAGCAAGACGATAAGATCCATTTTCTACAAAATATTACGTGTCTGACATGTCGCATAAACTTGTCATCAACATATGATACAGCTCGATGATTCAAAATAACGTTATAAATAACATTTGATGCCAAGAAATGCGGTGTTTTAATAATCATGTCTAGAAAAGATGATGATCGCATATCTATTTTATTTCTCAGAATTCCGATGATTTGCAATGATTTTGTGCCAACAAGAGCAATTTTTAGAGCGACGTTTTCTCGTTTATGAACCGTTTGTATATAATGCTTTGAATATTCACCGAAACATGTTAGTTTAAATAATTAAAACAATTGTGACAAACAAATAGAATAAAGAAAATGAGTATGTTGCTTTTTAGTCAAATAACATATTATAGTAAGATAAGAAAATTGGCAAACTTTTTTCACAATAAATATATATTGATTTTTTGGAAACGTGAATTATTAATATTACGATCTGTACTGTTAAATAATGTCAAATTACACTCAATTTGAGTTATTTAGAATCATTTTTATTGTCGTCATTGTTCCTATTCAATATGTTAATTTAACTAAAATAATAGAGTTAAATAATTTAACTGAAGAAAATTGAATTTAGTTTATTACTTACTAACAAGGAAAAGAGCTATATTGCAAAAATGTAAAATATAATATATAAAAAACAAAATCTAACGTTATTAATCGAAAAATTACATGTTTGAAATAGGTATTCTAAATAATGGAATTTTGGAATTCTGTACCCGAGTTAGGCTGGAACGTTTGATCATATTAATTTAGATAATAAAAATACTTCGAAGCAATGCACGTTTGAAAAAAGTTTCAAATAAAAATTGTAGAGTTTGAAGAGGATCTTATTTTTTAGAATACGAATCTACAATAGAACATAGGCATTTCCCTCAAAAAAATCGTCCTGGGTCTAAAGTGGACCTTGGACCCAAAATCTAAGTAATATTTGATGACTTAGAGTCCTCTTCAAATCTTACAGCTTTCACTTGAAACATTTTTTTCTTCATTGTTTTCGGAATATTTTAATGGGATATTTTATCTAAATTAAAATAGCTAAACATGTTTCACAGCCTAAAATCCAATTTCTTCATCTCTAGATAATTTTATCCAAGAAATATCTCCCAGAATATAATGGAGATATCTCCTGGCTAAGATTATTCGCAACTTGTCTGAAAGTGAAAAAATTGAGCATAAGTCGAGTACAGAATCTATAGAATCCCAAGGTTTGACTATCTAGAATATTTCAAACTTGATCTTTTGATTAACGTTAATTCTTTTTTGTATCACTTTTGTAATACATTCTCTTGTAAGTGCATATGTTAATACTGTGCAGGCAGAGTACATGATAGGAACTAAAATGACGTCAATGTGGCATCATCTTTTAAAGTGTTAATAGTCTCAGTTGTTTACTTTGAAACTGACCACAAAAATGGATTGATTTGTGTTTTAATACGTATGAAAGTTGTTCTTCTGCTATCTAACAGTGCATAAAGAAAGAAAATATTGAATATTCTTTTCAATTATACAGGGTGTCTCATAACTACCGTATTTCCTGTTAAGAATATATCCTTAGATAATTTGACACGAAAATTCTAATATAAAAATATCGAAGCTACAATAGTTTTTGAATTTTAATTTTAATTTTTGAATTATAATTGATTAAAGATAGTAATTCAAAAATTATTATAGTCTCGATATTTTCGTATAAAGATTTTCGTCTTAGAATGTTCAAAAGAATCCAGAAATAATAATAAATAATAAAGCTATAAAAGTAAAATTTCTTTACTTATAAGCATTTAAAAATAGCTTATAATTGAAAAAAATTATTGTAGTCTCAATATTTTCGTATTAGGATTTTCGTCTCAAAATTATATC